CTTGGCGACGCCGTGCCCGCGGCAGGCAGCGGCGACATGGGAGGCGGGGGTAGTACCGCGGGGTACGCCGGACCCGCCTCAACCGTCCTTGGAGCCACGCCCTCGGAGGGCAGCGGCGAGGGCCAGGTCGGTCGTTCTTCTATCGGTGGCGCAGCGACCGGATCGGACGCATCAGCTCGCGAGCGCGTCGCGGGCTCGGCCAAATTGGTGGTCGACTCTGTTCCGCCGCGGCGAGCGCGCTGCGGCTGAAACGCGGGAGTCGACCCGCGTAACGCCGGAGCCCTTCCGGGGCTCGACGGCGCGCCGATCGGAAGCGCGTCCACGGGGGTGTTGCTGTGGTCCATGGTCGGTCGTGGGAAGAGTTGGGATAAAGGAATGTCGTCGTCTGGGGAAGGAATGGAGGAGTGTTGGTGAAGTGTGGGGGAGTGCTGTGTAGGAGTTGGTGGTTCTGGGGGGTTCGCGTGGGAGGAGACAGAAGCCGCGCTATCCGAATCGGACGATATACCCGACTTATATACCGTCAGGTCGGTGAAGAGCCACGAGGCGTGCTCGTCCGCGCGAAGAAGCTTCCGTCCGGTCATCGCACGCACAGGTTGTGGAAGAGATCGAGGGGACCGCTGGGAAGGAAATGTGGTCGCCACGAGGATGTGGCGACAGATAAGGAAGGGGGTCTGTGGTACAACGACCGATCCGCGGTCGGTGTACAGTAGGAGCGGCCGCGCGCAGCGAGCACGGGGCACCGTGGCCCACGTGTAATACGCATGATTACCGAATGGGCGCAGCAAGTGACAGGTGTACGCTTGGGTACACGTGTAGTGTAAGGAACCGTGTGGGGATAATGCGCGCGCAGTGTAATGCAAGCGCGTAGTGTGAGGATCCGTGCGGTAGTGTAATGACGGCGCTAGATTTTCAATCGCGTACAGTACCTGGTCCACAGTAAGTGACAGGTACTGTATTGGACAGGTGTCCCGGGCGTCCCTCTGAGGGGTTAAGACCCGGACACCGTCCTCGCAGTAAACACGGGGGGCAGACTTGCCCCCCTCCCTTTCGCGCCTACGTACTGCCGTTTCGGTATTCTCTCGCGCGTTGGCTTCTAACCCGTTACCGGTCGTCTCCGATCTAGCACCTCGGGACGACTGCGCGTAACCGGCCAGTGTGCCACTCCCTTTTCGCAAGTCCGACCGTTCGGTAACCGCGCGCCGCGCGTCTCGCGTCGCGAGCTCCCTCGGCTCATCCTCCGAGCCTCTCGCCCGCTGGGGTTTGAGGAGAGTTGTACCACAGTTATCATAAGCCCGATTACAGTGAACCCTCTCGATATGGATACGCTCGGTGGACGTAATCCGTATCCATTTGCGGAGGATATTCACATCCGGAGACCGTATCATAACGGTGTCACGGTGCATCTCTCAGAATGTCTGTGCTTCACTTAAAAATGTATCTAAATGTATTGAATGCGCTCTGCTTGCGTAGTTATAAGATGACCTGTGATGTTTACCCTATTTGCAAATTGGGCAGAGACCCAAGTTGAGACTCCGCGTTCGAGATATAGGCTGGTAACTGACGCGGAGCGCTTGAACTTTTTGTAGAGATATCGGGACGAAAACCATACGTTCCGTTGATGATGCCGGACATGACAGCTTGAGCAGGAGGTTTAGAAAGGGAAAACTGTACTGAGGCCCACCTCGCAAGGGCGCTTTGTGACGTCTGTTCCTTGCTTTTTTGCGCCGTTGGAACTCTGCACATATTTGTGGCTTTTGGGCGAGGTTAAGCTCAGAGCGCTTCATCGACGATTGTCGCTTGACGGGGGCAGATGGCTACGGTGCTGAAAACACGCAATGTTTGCGATCAGAGGAGATTTATTAGGGGAGGACCAACAGGAGTATATGCTAGAAAGATGTTTTTGTCGAGAATGATGATAATTGCGAAGCCTCAGACGGGGATTGGAATTTATTGAGCAGATTGTGAACGGATTGATAAAGGATGAACGGTTATGGGGTAATTTGTGCCTTGGCCGCTCAAAAGTAACCATAAAATACGTTTTGAGTAGGAGAGGTCTGTATGATATGCATATTTCACATTGAACCCGATATCCAATTGAGGAATATTCCACAAACATTGTTTTTTGGTAAACATTTGTAAGCTACGGAGTCCGTCGCTCGACTTTTTATCCGTTTACGGAGGATATCCATATGGAGAATGATCCTTATCGGGGGGTTCACTGTATCTTCCTATAAGTTTCTCCTCATATTTCTGGTTCGATTACGTTCGAACATTTTATCGCACGACCGCTCAAGCCCCGAGTCCTTTCTGTTATGATGTCCACTTGGACGTTTTGAAATGGCATATGACGATACTGTATCACTCAGTTGTGTCGTGTCCATCTCGTATCATGGACATGCAATGTATTACGTGTCTTATGTCTGTCACCTACATGCAATGTTTCTATTGCATGTCTCATCTCATCTTTCTGTTTCCACTTGTATCATGCTGCTTATTCCAACCTCACGATGAAGCTTGTGTCCAAGAATATGTTCTGTACCTAAGCTGTCTGTCTGCTAGTGGAGTTCAGTTAGGAAGCAGGAGTTACCAGTTCCCACTTCTTGCTCTACTTTCTTGTTCCGTTAAAGTTATCTCTGCTCCGATTCTACTGTTCCCCCGATCGTCGCCAACTTCTCTTACCCCCAACATATCGGTGTTCCGTTGTATGTGTGGAGGGTCCCTGATATGGAATTCTGGTCCATGATGTCCCCAGCTCAATCAGCGTCTGCATATGATACGAGGAGGTTTTGAATTTCCGCGTTGTCCTTTCGCTTACCCGCTCGGAAATTGAGGCCGGTTGTGGGTTCACCCAAGCGCTTGATATTGTACGCTTTGGATAAGGCGGTTGCGAACGCGTCTTTGAGTGTGGCAGTGGTGACGACTACAGTAAAATCATCCATTTTGACGGCGGCGATTATGAGGTCTTTGCCAATTTTTGGACCAGAGGCACAGGTCTGCTCCGCCTTGCTTGAATGTTTTGAAACAGTTTCCTTTGAGCTTGTGGGTTCGTGCTTAGTTTTTACTGTAGGTTCCTGATCGCCTACCTTTTATACTATTTTCAAGTAGTTGCTCGTAATAAAATGGTACAGCACTGGCAACAAATCTACCGGGAGATGTACAGATGTTTTGGTGTTGGCGGTAATTACAATATCGTCTTAGCTCATCTCCCCTTACTTGATACATGCCAGGTAGAATGGAACTGTCACTCTACATGCCATTGGGGAAGTTGTGGCAAGGACGACAATGCTTCACACCATATTGTAACATTTTTCCTGTCGTAGTAGGGCGAAGACTGCTGAGAGATATGTGTGGTCAGCGAATGGCGTCCCGAATGTGTTCATGTGTAGCTTGCCTCCTTGGCAGTCTTGTTTGTAAGTGCCAAGAATCTGCCGTGTTGTCTCACGTCTACCGTTTCACTTCCGTTGTACGCGAATTTTTCATGCATGTACGCCGACTTGATGTCGATGTGTTAGATATGCATGCGGTACTTCGCCGCGATGCCCAGCAGTTCTCTTACTGTAGTTTGTCTGTGATGTACGTGGTTGTTTTGAGGGGTCATAGTGCTTGTGCGGTAGCATTTTGTCGCCTCGGGCAGAACATCGAACTTTTCTCGATGCTACTTCTCCTTTGCATTCCATCTTGTAACGGTATACCATTTTAGGGGTATCAGTTTCCGATTCCTGGGGAGATCTGCGGTCATTGTGTCCAGATTATCGAGATAAACAATAAACAGAAGCACAGGAATATTGAGTGATGTCGAGAAAACGGAAGAAGATGGGTTTTGACAAGGTGAAGATCTCGTACCATTTACTTGTAGCGCTTCAGACTGGTCGTTATATATACCACATAATCCTACGTAGACCCACCTAAACCGTAGAAAGATCCTAACTTATCGCCTTACTATCAGTGGGGGCGATTGAGAACTAAATCGAACTTAACAGTGGTTCACAGACATAATAAATGCAGTAGCATCGGAGATACAATAGAGAAAATGAATGCAACCAATCATTGAACGGAAATCGAGCGCAAATGCGGGAGATAGAGAGATAGGGTTTTCAATCAAGGACAAATACATCCTTCAGGGATAGTGATAGCATGAAAGTAAACCAACTACGCCGAATTCAGTGTTCTTGACTTTCACGTAGGTTACACGCTGCTAGCTGAGGAATATCACATATCAACTACCTGCTTAGTCAGTTACCATTCTTGTGCACCTTTTCGTACCGAAACAAGTCTAGAAGGGGAGTAAAGGAATGCAATGCTGTTCTGCATGAAGTGTTGGGCTGCTGCCTCTATGTTATTACTGCATCCACCACTATGGCAGACGAGCGACTCGCTGGCACGCACGAACTTTTGCGCGCGAAATTCTCAGCACCCACCGCGACGTCAACAAAGGAAAATCGCCCGCCGAGGCTGGCTTCCGCGCTGAGTGGCTCCGAGACTATTGAGAAATTTCGCACCATTGCCGGGAGGAAAAGGACTTTGGAGTCACCTCGTGGCGCTAAGAGCAGGGCCCCGGGGTGGGTGCATCCGCCGGGGGCTTCTTCGCTCATCGCGGATGGCCCTACCGTGTCGACATGGAGAAACACGTGAGAAACACACGCTCGTCCAGGACCTCCCTCCATGCCTTGAGGCATGCCGCCTTCCAATCTTAATCTTTCTGATGCAACAGGCAATGCCCTGTCTGTACTGGGGAAGTCTTCAGATGTTATTTCTTCTAGTTAAGAAGTCGAGCCTTTTATGCATGAGTCGCGTTGCGATTCAACGTATTCAATAGCGCGAGCGCCAGCTATGATCTACGAAAAAAGGTTACGTGCACCCGTCCGTGCGCTCGTGCGCACTGTCCTCGCGCTCGTGCGCATCTCTACCGTCACACACACTCGAGACGCCGCCTTCGGCGTCTTGCCGAGGAGACGCGGCGGGAAGCACTTCATGTTGCCCGGGTTGCCCACGCACCACAGGCCGGCGGCGGTGCACTCGCCTGCTGTGTCAACGCCCTTTGTGATGCAAAATCGATGTCCAGGTTTATTGATGCCTAATGCCTGTCTACCTTATAGAGGGAGGTTAGGCATCCGTAGGGCGGCGGCGATTGAGGTGCGCTAATCGCGTTGTTGTACGTGTACCACGTGTGTATGTATGGCTCTCATCCCTTGATGCAGCGGAAGTTGCAGAAGTTAGACAATAAAGGATGAATAGATGCAGCGGCCGGCGGCGGAGCACCTCAAGCCGTCAGCGCAGACCCAGAAGGGGTCCTTTCCGCATCGGTCGCCCACCCTCACAGGCTTGAAGCACTTCTTGTTTCCGACGTTACCGACGCAGACGAGTCCCGAGCGGCAGACGTCGGTCGGGGCGTTGCACGACTTCTTCAAGCCTCTCGGGCGGGCGCACGTGCCTCTCGGGGAGCAAATGAGCGGGGCCTGGCAGGTCCAGAAGGGGTCCTTGCCGCACTTGTCGCCCATGAGGCGGGGCGGGAAGCAGCGCTTGTTGCCGAGGTTTCCGACGCAGACGAGGCCTGCGGCGCAGACGTCGCCGGGGTTGTTGCAGCGGGCCTTGACGCCGGCGGTGCTGGCGCAGCGGCCGACGCGCGAGCATGTCAAGCCGTCCGCGCAGACCCAGAACGGGTCTTTGCCGCACTTCTCGTTGGCCGTGCGCTTGCGGAAGCACTTCTTGTTGCCCGGGTTGCCCACGCACGACAGGCCCGGGTAGCAGCCGGTGGGGTCGGAGTTGCACCTGCCCCCCTTGGCGATCTGGTGGGCGGAGGTGTTGAGGACGGAGGCCGAGGCGGCGAGGGCCAGGGCGGAGAGGAGGATGAGGAGCTTCATTGGGCGGGGGTGGGTGGTTGGATGGGGGTAGGGGGCGGGATCGGCGCGGAGGGTTGTGGGAGGATGGCGGATGAGTGTTGGGAAGGGGAGAGACGGGGGTTTGTATAGAGTGCGGGGGGGAGGATAGGATAGCGTAGAGCGCGAGGGGGAGCGAGGTCGCGGTTAGCGGGGGGGAGGTCAGCGGTGAATTTGGGTTGCGGTGGCGTGTGACGACTGATGTCAGTCACATGTCGACATGTGGTGAGCGAGTGACGGGTGGCATATGCACTGTAACTAACGGCGTTGTACAGTGCTGTCCCAGCTCTGCCTCTACTCCCTGGCGCTACGCCGCGCGAAGAATCTCGCCTTCCATCACCTCTCGACGTCTGCCGTTTTACCCAGGAAGCACATACCGACGCCGTTCTATGTACCCCCGAGAGAAACAGTTACAACAACCGCATCAATCCACCGGGCGAGAGATGACCGCCTGAGAAGTCGCGAATCTCCAGTATCCATCCGATAAATGGCAGGCACCCTTTCCGTCCTCGCAGCGTGCACAGCAACTACGTTCCATCGTCCATCCCGGCACCCTCAGCTACTAATTCATGGCATGCTGTACCTTTCCGGCAAACCTCGCCGGCACCGCCACCGCCGCAGACTCCCAACCGCCCTGTGGCCCACACGGACGATTGCACGTGGCGTTGCGACCGCGGACTGGCGCGCCATCTAATCCCTCGAACAGTGCCCCGCTGTACGGCCCCAATTTGCCGCTCTCTCCTCAATCAGAGAGTAAGTGAGAGAGTAAGTGATGTCACTTATACTGTGTTTGTCGCACGATCGCAACCAAAGCCCATGATCTTGATCGCCGAGCTCACTGACTACTGCTACATGTAACTTAGTTACTCCTAGTCCCGAGGATAGAAGGACTGGGAGGGTAGAGGGAATAACGACAGTAAACGCAGAACAAGCTGCGCATCTCTGTCTACTCCGCTCGCTTCCTCCGCTCGCTTCCTCCGCTCGCCCCAATAACCCCTCCCGATAGTTTGAGTCTCTCGGCATTAGCGCGACGCCACTATCCCACTCCAGCGACAGGGAGACACTCATCTAACACGCCATAGTGCCCCGCTGTGCCGCCCGCCCGCATTCTGTATCAGCGTCGCACCCGCCCTATCAATCCGCGTCTCAGTGTCTTCCTTGCTCGCATCATCTTTGCCGCCGCCCTCCTCAACTTCTCCATCGCCTCGTCCGACACTTGCTCGCCTTTACACTTTCCTACAGAACACCACCATCTCGACTCGCCTCGACCCGCGCCCGCGGCCATTGGTTCACTCTTCTTTTTTTACCACCGTGGCCGCGTCGACGCAGGCGAGGGAGACCGACGTGCATCGCTCACGTGTGCTGTACTCTTCCAAAACACACACGTCGACATGCATCTATAATGTTATGTGCTCTACTCTCTCACGCCCGCTGCTTTTCCCCCTCCGATATCCCCGCGCTGTAGGAGTCTACTTCTGGATACCGCATCACTGCAGCACCGCTTCTCCAGCGCGCGCAACTCTGACACCGAACGCGCCTATCCAATTTGCACCCATTACCTTGCAAATCTGTGCCGCCGCCGCCTGTCAAACCCGGTCACAACACAACCCTACCCCAACCCTGCCGCCCCTTCCGACTGCGAATTCCTGCCGCCGCGCTACAACCCTCGACAGCTAGCCCGGTGGCGTGACGCGGTTTCGCCAGATGAGTGATGCAAAACTCCCGCCGATGCTTTTTTAAACTCCCGCTGGATCAAATTCACAGTCCCCGAACGCCTAAACTACGCAACAATATGTTGTCTACCGTTTCCGGCACACCAGAGCCTTTCGTTCCAACTCTCAATTGAATATCATCCTGCAAACGTTTCAGACAACAGCGCACACTACAAGAGTGTAGATGATTAATTGAATATACGTTGCGGTAGCCAGAAGAACAAATGGCAGAGCAAGTGGCAGGCGACGTTGCTCATGACTGTTACCTTTGCAGTGAGAGCAGAATGTCCTCGTTGTCCGCCGAAAATCGTAGCCGTCATGGCAATACATGCTGTGTGCAGTCCTTTCGTCCCGGGCAAGACGGAAGAATCTTTTAGGACCAGATGTCAGTCAGCCTACAAGCCCGTACGATTTTCTACGAGGACATTCTGCTCTCGCTGCAAAGGTAACAGTCATGAGCAACGTTGTCTGCCACTTGCTTTGCCATTTGCTTTGCCATTTGCTCTTCTGGCTACCGCAACGTGTATTTGTTACGAAGATAGGGCTGGCATGTAGCACCGTCGCCGCATCCAAACCGAGAAAACACACAACAATGTGTACAGCAATGCCTGATAATATCAGGCATTGCTGTACACATTGCTGGACACGTGTAGACACCAGCAAGGATTTCTGAATGTACACGTACATTGTCAGCATTCCAATACCAGAGCAAGCACGGGCTTTGCGTTTACGATGCTCAGTAAATGCAACAATGTTGGTTGATATGCATGTACACCAAACTTCGGTTGGGCTGAAGAAAAGGTTTAACAGAAAAAGAGCAACGTCCACTTCCATGAGTAATTGATTAATAGATTAGTAAAGGAAGAGAAAGAGATTCAAAACAGGGTTTGACAATATTCAATGAGTCATCTACACTTTTCTTGTCTTGACGAAATGTCAATAAGTGCCGTTCCATTTATCGACAGCATCTCCTTTTTGCAGTTTGCGGGACCAGGGTAGAAACCCCTCAGACCCTGTCACCTCTGCATTCCATTCCGTTGAAATCCTCGTGATAGAAAAGTCGGCGTGGCAGAGAAGACTATCTTCCCATTGAAACAGGATGGTTAGACCAAAAGCTTTTTGGCTATTGCTGCTCCAGGACAACGTGCCCAACGGACAACCGCTACAACTTGCTGCAACACGTGTAGTGACTTGAATCGCTTCCCGCCAGGATTTTTGTGAGGAGATGTCCTCTCATGCTGGCCTCTGCCGATTGGTATCTTACGGCATGGTTTGCTTCTGAGGAACTGCCCTCATTGTTTCACCTCATCTGACCTCTAGACTAGAGCGCAACGACGCCGACCTTCGTCAAATGGTGAGGATTGCCACACGGGGATCTGGACGGACCTCCCGTGACATTATTATTTTCTTTCAAGAGATTTTCAGAAGGCTATGCAGTTCCCATTTACCCTACCCCTCTTCCACCGTACCTCTCTTCCACCGTGCGCCCTTTGACATCTCTAGTGACGCGCCCCGAAGTCTACTGTGACCTTCTACTTATTTCATCTAGAAAAGAATTTCTCTCAATAGTTAGTTTGGCCGCAAGACATTTTTCAGACGCACTGCCGACTGCAGTTTTGCTACACCTCCAAAATAGAAGCAGTAGCGCAAGCGCGCGTGCCACTGCAGGCGCATCCGGTGCAGTGGCGCGCGCGCTCGCATGGCCCCGGCGCATAGTATGCGCCGGGGCCATGTTCTTTCTCTGCTGGCACCCGCAAAAGAAGCGGGAGAGCGCGCAAGTTGTCCAGGATGTCCGGCTTTCCACGGTCGCGCCCCCAGCCCTGACAGAAGTTCTGGCCGGCCTGTAGCAAAAAGATTTTGCTTTATGGGGGCGATCAGGTGCATTTTGGTGCCAACAGGCGGGTGAAATTGACTTTTCTGTTGTGAACAGGGTCCGAAGCATGAATTGTTGTTGCAAGAGCGGGGCGAAAGGAGGAAAAACAGCAGCACGATGGACCCGAAAAGCGAGATGTCACCTTCGGATCTCGTTTGTCGCCCGTCCAAAACAACAAAGGCGAAGCGTGTCGCCGGTATAGTAGTGTAAAATGACCAGTAACCGAGGATTTTAGGGATCTCATGCACGACATTTCCAGAACGGAGGATAATTGTGGGGATATCTCAAGCATGATTTCTGCGCTGCTGTCCTCCCCCTTACCATCTGTCGTCTCCACGGCAGACAGCATTCACCTCATCAAGCCCCATCAAGCCACTCTTGTCACCCCGTTGCCGCTATCTTACTTCTTTCCCACGCTTTCCATAATCTTTTCAAAATGCGCGTACTCCCTCAAACTATGGCCAAGGCAATTCGACACCTAGCCACTGTGGAAGAGGGCTTAACACCTCTTTTTGACGTTTTCTGCGTATCTCCTCGTAACGCAACGTTGCGTCAAATTGTCAACCTTGTCACAACGCCGCAAGGAGCAGAAAGCCAAATGTCGGCGGACCTAAGGAATAATATACGTTCGGTTGAGCCTCAGAAGATGCTTACGTGTGTTGTTCTTCTACGAAGGTCAAACTTTTTGCGTCGTCAAGAAAGCGCCCTATCTTGTTCATCTCCGGTCCCGCCCCGAACAGAGAAACACCTCGCCCACCTAATTCAGCGAGCGCGCGTATATCAGTCCTCAGTCCGTTTCTGAGATGGGACATCTGAAATGGAGGCGACAATAGCCAGTCAGCAGAACCGAACTGTGCCGCGCCATGTCACACTTAGCAAGATTCCCCAAACCCCTCCATTATGCTGTGCATACTCTACAGACGGTTCTAGGTTTCCGTGTTGGCATGGAATTGCTGTTCTAATCGAGAAGCATGGAGCAAGCAATGTTCATCGCTTTATTGAATAGCGCCACCTAGCGGCAGCTTGAGTTAAACAATACGAAAATGTTGACTACTACCTTCCTTCGCAAGCTTGCGTTGATGATGTAATATGGAATGCAAAGAAGCTCGTTGCAAAGAGGCATAACCTGCAAATTCCCAAAGCCTTGCCGCCACCACGCGGGCGTCCGGTCAAGAGGGCCGGGAGGCGTAAGAAAAAACTGCTACGAAAAAGACCCTGTCGCAAAGAAGAAGTGGGCCCCCTCCAGCGCTAACTACCCTTCCCCGGCAGGGTAATTTGGAACAAACTATGATTTTTATTGGGCAAAGTTAAGAAATATTTGTCTGTTTTGGCAACAAAACTCACCGTTGCAAAGGCCGAGATCAACTTTACACGAGTGTCACAAAAATATCTGAACGTGTTTGACATCACGAGTGAAAAGTCCAATTTGTTATGCACGGACCCAGAACACTAATTGAGGCCCGAATCGGGTAATTTGGAACAAATGCCATTCCAAAATGAATCATGTA